AGGACATCATGGGCCACTGAAATTAAAAATATACTTCATATGTACGGCTTTGGTGTGGTTTGGATATCCCAGGGCGTGGGGGATGTAAACCTGTTTTTGGTACAGTTCAAGCAGCGGGTAATTAATATTCATAGGCAGGATTGGTACAGTTAAATATGTTGTACTGCCAAACTAAGGTCATATTGTAGTTTTAAAACCATGCTTGAACCAGAAAGATATCTTTTTGTTGTCACTGAGGCTAAACACAGACATGCTCTAGCACGTATTCGCTGTTCTAGTCATAGATTGCGCTTCGAAGAGTGGGCGCTATACAGGGTTGAAAATTGATGAAAGAATATGCGAGTTTTGTTTATTTAATGTAGAGGACGAGTACCATTTTGTTCTTGTTTGCCCATTATTTCACTCTATGAGGAAACAGTTAATTCCTGAGTATTTTTGGCATCTTCCCAATTCAGAAAAATATTACAGTCTAATGCGCTCAAAATCCGCGCAAAGGTACTACGTAATCTTGGTAAATTTCTACATAAAGCATTCAACCTTAGAAGAGGAGTTTTCGTTACTTTCGGTATAAGAATTTTGTTATATATATATATATATATATATATCTGTTCTATTTTTATAGAAGAACCTTCCCAAATAAAAATAAAATTATAAAATTTAAAAATATAAGAGGTAGTCACTAAACCATGTACTTTCACACTCAAGCAAGAGAATAGACATGTTGGTGAACTAGCCTTGCACTGTGAGTGTTTTATTGTTTACACTCCATTTTTTTCACAAATAAAAAAAATAAAAAAAAAAGAACTGCAGACCACACTTCTTTATATTTTTTAGTGGGCAAGCCATGTTTCCACATACAAAAATACACATAATATTTCTATTTAATTTATTTTATTTAAAAAAAAAATATTTTAGAAGCATAACAATACAACGACTAGATTTGGTGTCACAGTTTGCTCCCAATTCATACTGGAATATTGCCAGCAATAATTAATAAAGCTTGTTCAGAAAACCATTTATTCCCGACATCATATTCAA